ATAGACTGGTTAGAGCTTGCCACTTACCTCGGACATGGTTATAAATAATGACCTTTGAAGCCCTCCCAACTTACCCTGGCCATTCCCTCAGGCAGCTCCATCTTTTGTATACCTCACTATTTGACTCTATTATCCGGATCCATCTGCGGCCTGATCATTCGACATATAAAGGTATGTCGCTGCCGCCGATCTATAGCATATGGCAAACATCTTGGATTCGCTTCTGACCTGAGAACCTCACAGTTGTAGACCAATGGCGTCTGTGGAGACCTACACCATGACACCAGCGCCAATTCTGGCAGGGCCAATCCAGCCCAAGGAGACAGAAGTCAGTCATCAAAAGACCTCGTCGACAGGAAAGGTTGCCTTTGACCCTTCCAAGCACCTGGATCACACCGCTCCTTCCAAAGTGTACAGCATGAAAGAGCTCGGCTATTCGGACAGCCGAGGTGTTTCTCCCGTGGGAGTCTCCGAGCCTTTCCCGTTGTTCTCTGCAGAGGCCATCCAAAGAATGCGCGAAGAGGTTCTCAGCGATGAAGTCTTCATGAAGCATAAGTACTCGAGCGATCTTGCTCAGTGCCAGTTGCGAGGATATGCGGCAGAGTGTGTAACCCAGGCCCAAGCACCTTTGAGCATAGCTGATGTTGTTGCATAGATGCGCACCGTTCATCTATGATGCCTGGAAAAATCCGGAGACGCTGGCAATCATCTCAAAAATTGCCGGTGTTGATCTCGTTCCCGCCATGGACTTCGAGATTGGCCACGTCAATATCTCCGTTCACAGCGAGCAGGAGAAGAACGAGGCTCTTAAAGCGGTCATGGAGAAGACGACTCGACAAGCAGACGAAGGCGTGGCCGGCTGTCCTTGGGAGGACGAAGACCCGATCGTTGATTGGCATACAGACAGTTATCCTTTTGTCTGCGTGACAATGCTTTCCGACTGTACAAACATGATTGGCGGCGAGACAGCTTTGAGAAAAGGTGACGGAGAAGTGGTGAAGGTCCGAGGACCACAGATGGTAAGTATGAAGGGCTTGATCCAAGTGGTAGCAGGCTTACAGCGTCTTTTAGGGGTCTGCCGTCATTCTTCAGGGGCGCTATATCGAGCATCAGGCACTCCGTGCTTTGGGAACAACTGAGCGAATTTCCATGGTCACCTCTTTCCGGCCTCGCGCTTCAGCCACCAAAGACGACACTGTACTTACAACAGTACGTCCAATATCTAAGCTTGGCGACTTGTACCACCAGTTCGCGGAGTACCGCTTTGAGATCCTCGAAGAGCGCCTGCGAGATGCCAACCGATTCATGCGTGATCAGAAAAGAGCGACCAGACCTTTCGACACCCGCCTATTGAAGCAATTTATTCGAGAACAGATCGCTTTCCTGGAGCACATGGACAAGGAGATTGTTGAAGATGATAAAGTTACCAAAGGTGTTACTGATGATAGCCACCTGGTATCAGAAGATCTCAAGCAGCGACGTTCCAAAAAACGAAGCTTTGCTGCTGTGGAGTAGATCCGAGCAGCTACTCATGTGGATGAATGAAGCGGTAATAAATTGTTCTTTTTCTTCCCCATCAGCCAATATGAGGTTTTCGTATGGCGCTTTCGATTTGTTAAGCGAACAAAGGGTTGCGGTTGGGCCAATCTTATCATGTCGTAATGACTTAGGGATTTTGGGTTTCTGTAGGCGAAATGTCGCTTGGGCAAACGAGGCGTTCGTCTTTCTCTTTTACTTGTAATAGGCAGCATTCAGTGATGCAACAGTGGCATTTCGTAAGATAGTCTTTAGGTTCGTCGTTTTCAGATCGAAGGAAGTTTAGTATGTCCCTGATCAAACCACGTATCTCCATGAAGGATCTGATTAGAGTGAATGTGTTCATGTTCGACTGAAAAATGACCGTAAGAGTACAATTCGATCGAGTACAATTAAAAGCCCTTGAATCCCTAGGCGCTAATTTGGAGAAACCAGGCAGCCTGACGTCTTGAGCAATGGGTCGATACGCTGGATGTCCGCGAGTTGCTGCCTTTCTTAGTTTCGACAAACATATGATAAGTCAAGCGGGCGAAAGAGGGATGCGCGCCAGACCATTGTTAGTTAGGCCCATGCTTTTCATAGACAGTGATGTGAACGTTTTCGGGTTCATGAAAGTAGAAGATAATAGTGGTTGCGGGTTTTATGTCATGAAGCATCATTTCTTAAGGGAGGGGAATTGTCCCGCGCGATAAGCTTGGTAACTAAAGCATTCTGAGAGATCGAGAAGGTTGTCTCCATCTCACGAAGATAACCGGCGCTAACAGGATGCTGACGCCCGGATCGAACTCGGCGCTAAATGCTCCCCATTATAGGGGAAGTTATTCCGGTCGATAAAATGGATCCCATCCAGTTGGATCTCCATAGTTAAACCGTTCCATTAGTTCGGGCTGTTGTGTTTGTTCGGTTTGCGCGCGGAACTTCCGACCGGCCAAGACAAAGTGAATGTGATCGGTGTTCCTCAGGCAGGAATAAGGAAGTTCTCTCCCCCCCCAAAGCTAATCCTAGCGGTATGAGTGCCGAGTTTTGCTTCCTCTCCTCGTCTCATCTCTCTTCTTTATCTCTCGAGAGCCGCATATCGAGGTCGCCCAGGTCACCTTTAGCTCATAATTACGGGGTTGCTTCCTCTTCGAATTTCCTGGCTTAAAACCACTTGGTGGGGGGCTATTTTACTCCTGCCATAGTTGCCTGTCTCCCTCCCTCCAGTGATGTCGGCGATCATCTCGCGTACCTGAAAAGTCCATACTTAATCTCTCCCCCCTTCCTAAACAACAGGACCACTTTCTCAAATCATCCACTTCGAAGAGCTTCGCGTACTTTGATATACGGTCTTACGTTCACCTCATATACACCTTTATCGGCCTGCGCAAAAGCAAATATCGAAAAAATGGCCCAAGCTGCTGCCGGGGCTGCCGTCTCGAACAATGGTGCCGATAACACAAATGCGCCCGCGATAACCACGGGAGACAACGCGTCGGGCGTGAGCGACTTACGCGGATATCCTGAATTATACATTGCTAACATCGTGTTAATAGCTCTTCCAAACTTTACAAGGTCATGTCGACAGCATTCGGTCCCTCATACAATGCGGCGTTTGCATCCGGCCGCTCTATGAACCCTATACTTTGGCTTGCGGGCATACATTTTGTTACAGTGTAAGCTCCCCAAATGTTTGGCGTAACTATTCGCACGGCGTCTGACAGCGCATTGTAGTGCTTAACCTCCTGGTTCGTTGGTGGACGACACAACAAAACATGCCCTGACTGTCGGGCCCCAGTGAAGGCGCAGCCTGCACCTGCTTACTTGGTAAGACACCCTGACTCATCCTTTGACGAGCGAAGAAGAAAAAGGCTCGATCTCACACTTCAAAGGTTAGAGCCGTTGTTCAAATGTTCACGAGCCAGCCCGAGCTACTCGACAAGGGCGAGACGACAGACGAGCACCAGCGCCATCACAATGAGGAAGCAGAGCGGTTAGAAAAGGACAGACAGAATGCAGACCCTAAGGAAGGGGGTCTGTTTCGGGGAACTTTCAACAAGCCGAAAATTAGTCAGCCCATCATGGATGACGATGATAACATATTACGTTGTCCGCACTGTGCATGGGAGTTGGAGGACGATGAATGTATACACTGCGGCTACCAACGAGATCGCGACTCGATAACGAGCACATATTATAGCGATATGGAAGGGTCCGAAGAGATGACCGACTACATGGACGATGACATTGAGGACGGGTTCGGAGAATATGATGAAGATTATGACTTCGATGAGATATACACAACCCTCCAAACTTTGCCGCCTGATCTGCACGACGCATTGTATCGGCAACACCCCGGATATTGGCCTCGCGATTGGCCTGCAGGCCCTTCTTCGGGAATCGAAGATAGTGAAATGGACGATGAAGATGACGATGCGGATATGGATTCATTCATTGACGACGACTTAGAACATGAGCATGGCGACTATTCTGAGTCTGACCGGTCTACAGTTGTCGGGCATCATGAATACTCAATTACACGATCCGAGGTTCCAGATAGCGGTACGCCTGACGAAATGCTGGATGGCAGCGAAGACGGTAGCAGCGAAGAAGATGAGGATTCACATGATTCAGAAGGCTCGGAAAACTCGGAAGACGACGATGATGACGATGATGACGAGCCTATCAGACCTGCTATTAGCAGTAGCCGGCGAAATCGAGTGCCAACATATCGTGTGCCATCGGATTCTCCTACTCCCGAGCCAGAGCAGTCCACCAGGGCTTCTCGATCGGCTGATGCGGCGCCTAGAACAACATCAGGCGCCTTTCGCCGTACTCAAATTCCGCCTGCCAACTCCGAGGCGAATGCAATATACATCGCCTCTTCCTCAGAAGACGAAGGTCCTATAAGACCTACGAGGAGGACTAGAAGAGAACGAGGAAACTGCTAGTCCGAGTCTCATGGCAGTTCCTTCCGCATCCTGGTCCATCACAGTCCCTTCCCTACCCTCATCTACCTCGTCCACAATGGCAGTCCGTTGAGAACTGTGGCGGCAGGAGGTAGAGGAGGGTGGTGGGCACCTTCCTTACATGAAAGGCGGTGGTTGGTGACTTCATCCTTTCCATCTCCTCCTTCTCCTCCTCTTCTTTCTCTCTAACATACGGATTGCTTCATCTTTACCAAGATCAGCTAGGCGCATTTGATACTTCCATTCTTCCAAGTTCTCAAAGTAGTGTCTTTTGGCTTCAGAACCCAGTCAGAGTGTTATTCCCGTTTGGTTCTCAGGCCAGATTCAGCACTATCATCAGCAGGTACAGGTACTGTTGTACCCCGCGTCTCAAGGTTATTTCCGAAAACTTACGCCGTTCATACGTCACCGGTTATTGACAAATAAGAGGCAAAAATGGCATCCTATTCCTCAACGTCGTTGTCACCATCATCCTCCATACCAGTTTCTGCCTTCTCTCGAGAAATTCATGCATCCAAGATGTCCGAGGAAAAGGTTGCAGTTGCTCGCTCTTCCCAGCTCGCCATGACTGAGGTTTCCCCACCGACCACCTACACGACATTCGAAAATCTGAACGCAGCTATTGCTGAGAAACACAGGATTTTGGCAAGTGGACGTCGTACCGACTCCTACCTATCCTACAAGTTCGTCACATATGACCTCTATCATGACGTTGAAAAGAATCGATCTCGCTTATGCTCCCGCGTGCGACTCACATATTTTCCTGATATATCCACTCTGATCGTCAAGATTCCCACATATGAACATGAAATTGCTCATGCTTATGTAGGACAACACCTCACTAGGTTGTCCGACCGTATGGGAATCGATGAGGCAGCATTTTTCGCTCTAGCGGCGACGAAGTATGTCGGACCAACTGCATCTGAGAAAGAAGCGGACGCATCATGGAAGAATAGTTATCTCAGACAAAACCATGCTGATTGGCCTCACCTGGTCATAGAGGCTGGTGTTTCAGAGTCTTTGCCGAGGCTCCGACTAGATGCATCGTGGTGGATTGAATATCCTTGCGGAGAGGTTTTGATTGTGTTGTTGATCAATGTCAACCGGGACCGAAAGACACTTCTCTTTGAGAAGTATATACCACGAGTATCGACCGCAAATACACGAGCATCAACATCCATCCCACCCAGATATGAAAAGGAACTGGTCGGAACTGTCAATGTCAATTATGGAGCCATGCCGCCTGCTGTCATCGGGGAGCCTCTAATCCTAGAGGTCGAGCGTGTTCTGGGACGGGTGGCAGTGCCACCAGAACGGGATTTCGAGCTCACAAGAAATTTTTTCCTGGCGCTAGCTGCTCATATTTCCTAATTGTGCAGGTGAAGAAAAGTCTACCTAGAATTGTCTAGTCTAGAAACTGCTTGCGGTATTCTGAAGTGTATTTCGTCTTTTCACGAAAAATCTGGTATATGTACATTTCCAGCAGATTTGCAGCACACCTAGGAGCAAGGAAGACAATAGGGGATCTTGAATGCCTAGATAAGTGCTTAGTATAGAGGGGTATGAGAAAGGCTTTCACATAGCCTTCAAGACTAAGAAAATACTCACCCTGATGATACTTTTATTCGAGAATAGAATGAAAGATATGACGATTCATACTGAACTGGAGTAGTTATACTATATTCATTCTGATATGCTGAAGGAAGCATAGATAGAATTTGCTGTACTGAAAGAGGAATATTTGAGGAAGATAGCTGTGTACTCATTAAGAAAGAGTTGACATGCATCATACTCATTGGCGAGAATATGACACTCGATAAGCCGTAGACACAACTGGTATAGTTGTTGAATAATCTGAAGATGCTCTGAATATACACTGTTCCATGCACCTGCTAATCCAAGTCGCAGAATTTGCCGCAACTGATCCATTCTGAAAAGATGGTCATAAGTCGAGATGGTGATGCACGGTCTATCCAAGCCTTGAATATACTTTTAAAACTATCAGTTAACTATAAAGACCAGTAATATTAGAAGATAGCAAACCTGTGCTTAAACTCGCCACATAAGACATTGCAATTCATCAGTGTTCCATACTCATCAGCAAAATAGATCGAGGGGGAATCCCGCATGAACGATTGGAGTAGCTATATGATACTCTCACTGCAGACTCGTTTCAGTTGCTGATCAGACATACTTGATACTGTTGCCATAAGGTACTGAAATATACAGCGGCTATGGATAATCTGTCTTGTAAGATCTTGTACCGGAGTATAGGAGCTAGTTGGAATAGCAGTAGTCGCTGCTGCAATAGCTGCACACGCACGAACCAGCCAAGATAATCCTGATGTTCGGAAAGAGAGACAGTATTATCAACTTTCTACGCTGAAAATACTTGGCATGGAACCAGGACGAGTCAGCACAAAATCGAAGAAGAATAGGTAGGAGAATAAGAGTGTGACCAAGGTCTGACAATAGTCCATGTTTTCAAGTACCATGGATATACTAAATTATATATATATATATATTATTCTGGGTTCCGTTACTTCAGTACTCAATGGTACTAGTAGTACTTATAGTAATAATAATAATCTTTAGTACTTTCAATATGGGTCCGCATTAATAAATCCTGTAAATTAGTCTATTAATCTATTCTGAGATTCTTTTAAAAAAGGGACTTTGATACTTATCCTCTGTTACAGTTGCAGTGTTATTTTAGATATCCCTATCTAATCTCTATCCTCATCATCCTCGCCCTCGCCTTTATCAAAGTCCTCATTCTCATCCTCGCCCTCACTCTGCATAGTCTGCTTCTTCTTTTTGTATCTTACATGCCCCTCATTATCTGAATCATCCAAGAGTCCTCTCCCTCCCCGCTGAACTGTCCCTTCTGTAATTTCATTTATATTAAGCCTGATCCGTGCATTCCGTTTCTGTACTAATGGTACTGCCCGTAGCGGGAAATCATTGACTGTTAGGTGTTTAAATCGATCCAATGTACAGAGAGCATCAAACATCCGAATGACGTAGCTCCAGCTGTGTTTATTCAAACTTAAGGTTGTTGGCTGACCTTGGCTTTGTTCATGCACGTTGTAAAGGTAGGAAACTGTCATTACTTAAAGGGTAATATCTAAACTATCAGTATCTTCTGTGAAAGCCTTTCATGGAGTATACTAACATTTCAGCCACTCCTGACCCAGTGCTGTGCAATCATTAATTGAGATCGCTGGTTGTGTCCAGGGAAAAACTTCAAAAACCCAAGCAAAATCAGAATGTGCTTCGGCTGCCTGAAAAATAGCAATATAGTCACAATTTCTGACTCGATTTCTTTTCTTGGCAGAAAGTGTCATTATCCAGTTTTCGAATTTCTTCAAGGCAAATTCCCAGGTCCGGTTTTTCCACTGCTTATAAAGGTCACGGGCACGAGACATTCCAGTCTTGAAGTGGTGATTGTCCTTTTCATTCCTGAGAATGTCTGCTCCACTGGCCAAACAACTCTTTGGTTGTCAAGGCAGGATATAAACTGTCAGCGAGCAATCTGCTGTAAGTTATAAAATAAATACCTCAGTATCGGAGAGAATAGATTTTGTTTGGTTTTGCTGAGCTTTTATTGTGTTTGTTGATTCTGTTCCAGTTAGGTAGTAGTAATACAGCTGCTGGGTCACTGTATTAGATATCGAGTCATCCTCAATTATCTCTAACGGTGCTTGTTGGCTAAGAATAGGTGGTGATGATGGCAGCGGCGCCTGAGTAGAGGACGGAAGTATAACTGATGATCCACGCCGACTAGATAAGTAAGAGGATCCAATTGAAGATGGTATATACTGAACTGAATTCTGGCTTTGGGTTTTCCGCAAATGTATTGGGGATGGCTGGCCTGGTCGCTGAGACGGCTTGTATTGCAGTGGTTGACTATGGGAAGACTGTAGTTGATTAGGTTGTATATAACGCTGGTCCGATAATAATGGCTTAGAAGATTCTGTTTTTTAACTGTACGGTTAAATGGCTGTGATTTTCCAGCTCCTATGTAATCAGAAAAGATTAGTATGAATCATCTGCAGAAGTGTTTCGGCTTGCCAGGACAACAAACCCCAGTCGATGAACTCATCATCGGCGTCAGCAAATTTGCAAGACGGAGACGTTGTACTGGACGCCATGATTTTAAATCATTTGAATATTTCGACTGGATGTGATAACTTAACGCTGAGGACAGATGGAATGGAGAAGACAGATGGTGTAGAAGAAGAGATGGGATGGAGGAGACGGATGGTGTAGAAGGAGAGGTGGGATGGAGAGAACGGATGGTGTAGAAGGAGTGAGGCTTTGAACAAGTGAGGTTTTGAAGAAGTGAAGTTTTGAAGAAGTATAGTTTTGAAGAAGTGGGGCTTTGAAGAAGTGGGGCTTTGAAGAAGTGAGGTCTTGAAGAAGTGAAGCTTTGAAGAAGTGAGGTTTTGAAGAAATAGTATATGGTTTAACACAGGAACTGAGGATTTTCACCAAGTAAAATGAATATGAACTAACATTTTTTATTTAGTTGTTGAAACTAATAGAGAGTATGATAAGATGAGCCTTTGATAGTATTAGATTATTAGAATATAAGCTCTAAAGTATATCAAGACCATTAAAAGACTAGTAAAAATGAAGATAGAACAGTTATTTACTTTACTATAGTTATACATCTAGATTTAAGCTTTGCATAACTATTTAGGACTACCTGACTAATAAATATTAGTAATCTAATTATATGCAACTAATAGTAACGGTTTCCAACTAACCGCAACCTCTCGCACCCAAGGCTATCAAACCACTATGAATTTTGAACCATAAGAATATGAGGATATGTAAAGACCACGGGGCCCGGGAATAGAAATACACATGGAAGAAAGAATATGAGATAGACACACATACGCCGTGTTCACAATGATTCATTATCAAAAAAAAATCCCTTGATGCTTCTTCTCCTCTCAATTGAGCTTGTCGCCGATGAACGGAACCTCGAATACGACAGCCCCACTGCGGCCCTCGGCCGAGGGACCTTCGTGGAAATTATTGGTGAAACACTTCCAGCGTCCCAGACGGTGTTCCTTGCCCACGGCTGCCACAATGCACAGGCCGCGAGCTTCCGGCTCCGAGGACGTCGTCGTCTTGGACTTGGACTCTGTTGGGACCTGGCCGGGTTTGGCGGTTTCGACCCGGCGTTCGAACACGGCAAGGCCGTTGATGACGCCCTTGACGAGCGGTTCCTCTTCGTTGGGAGCGCCGGTAGTCATCTGAGCCGGTGCACCTTCCACATCCATGCGGTCCGAGGCGCTGGGTGTGTCGAATTCGAGCGTTTGTCGGAGTTGCTCGGAAGGCGTATCGGGAGCTAGGGACATCTTCGACACGCCTCCAACGGGGCCCAAGGGAACGATCGTCCTCTTATCGCTTGAAATCTTCCATGCGCGAATGAATCCATCCCAGCTACCACTAAGCACAATGTCCGTGCCGGGCACTGTGGCCAGCGCCGTAATCCAGCGAGGCATGCGGCGAAGATGGCGGGAGTTGTGGGCGGCCGTGGCTTGGTCGACTTCGGCGGAGAGCTCGTCCAGGGGAGGTAAGGGATCGAGGCCGTGGGCGAGCGGAATCGTGAAGAGGGGCTTTTTCTTGTGAACAGACCAAAGCGAGAGGGAGCCCGAGTCCGAGCCGGTGACAAAGTGGTTCGGAGGTAGAGGTGCCACGCAGTCGATGTTGCTTTCCTGGTAAGAGGCACTCTTAGATCCGCCGCGGAAAATCAGCTGTTGTTCCTCGATGACCTTCCATAATCTCGCTGTGCGATCGCGGGCCCCGACACTGATACATTGATCGATCGTCATGGCGGCAACGCCAGTAACATGGTCCTGATGACCGAAAAGCGTCTCAACGTAGGCATGACCAGCAGTGCTTAGAGACCAGGTCTTGATGGTTCGGTCATTCGAGCCGGTGAACAGCTGTTCTCCGGAACTCATGGTCGAGATGTGGCGGGCAAAGGCGAGACTGCTGATAGAATCGCGGTGCTGTGTGAAGGTTTTCAAGGGTGTCAGGGTCTCCGCGTCCCAGACGATCAACTTGTTGTCTTCACCACCAGTAGCCACGAACTTTCCGGATGGTGAGACGGCAACAGACAAGATGCTCTTGGTGTGGCCGTGCTCCTCGCCAGTTTCAGCAACCTTCCGCAAACCCCGCACGTACTTCACTTGCTTGGGCTTCTTTCTCTGTGGACGCGGGCGACGCTTGGAATCTCCGGTTGTTGAGGGCAGCGCGGTTGCGGAAGTAGGTGCGGCAAGCTCCCACTTAATCAAGGTTCGATCCTTCGACACGGTATAGACGTAGGGCGCGTGAACTGCGATCGAAGTGGTCGACTGTGTATCTGCTCGGAAAAATGTGTGCGAAGCTTTCGAAAAGGCGAGGTCTGATGCAATCTGGCGGTAGATGCGTCCTTTGAACTCGTCCTGGCCCGAGTGTCAGCTCCATTGAGCGGATGGAAGACAAGGATAGCGATACGTACCACATCCTCCTTCAATCTCTCCGCAATCAAATCGCGATCGATCTCAGCCGCATCAAAACCGATGTCATCCACTTCATCTCGGACATTCTCCAGGTAGCGCTCCGCAAGCTTTAATCTCCGGTCGGCGGCGGTCTCGCCTTCGTCGGATTCCGATCCACTGTCGTCTGAAACACCAGAAGCAACGCTGAGGTTATCCTCATCTATATCGCTCCCCGAGATCGATTCCTCATCCTGATCCCTGCGTTTGCCGCCACTTCTTCCGGTTGCATCTCCCTTCGCATCAACGCCTCGTTTCTTCGACGCCGGGGCAGCGGTGCGATCTTCTCTCTTTCTTTTCCGCTGGGAAGCGGGGACTGTGAAGAAAGAGGACATTGCCCAGAGTAAGTGGCTTGACTTTGAATGAGAAAAGAGTGGCGTAAAAATAGAAAGACCACACGTGAACTGACAGTAGACACCCCGACCCAGCGCAGATACTCGCTTGCTCACTTTTTTTCTGCCGGTGGTCTGTGCAGGCGGAGACCGCATCAACGTAACGCCTAAATGCTGACTTAGCAAGAGGGCAGCTCCGGCCTCAGGCAGCTGGGCCCTCGTAGCCACAGCTCCAGGCAGTCAAAGCTCCGCGCGGCCAGCGATGAGGTCCTAATCATCATCTTCCTCTCCCCACATCTATACATCACTTTCCCTTCCCTTCCCTCTTATTTCTCTTCTTCTGTCATACTCTAGAATAAATACTGCAGCTATGTACGTTCTATCTTGCCCACATTGAGAGATTCTTGTCGACTAATCTGCTTACAGGGAGGTACTACTCGGCATCACTGGCAAGGACTTCGTCATTCTGGCGGCTTCCAAAGCTATCATGCGCGGTCCTACCATCATCAAAGCCGAAGACGATAAGACAAGACAGTTGAACAAGCACAATTTGATGGCCTTCTCCGGAGAGGCCGGAGACACTGGTGGGTTCCTCGCGGCTTGACCAACAAGCCACTCAAGGTCGGCTCTTGCAGCTAACCGTACGAATCGCTAGTCCAATTCGCCGAATACATTCAAGCCAACATCCAGTTATACACCATGCGCAACGATACCGAACTAGGTCCGAATGCGGTTGCCAATTTCGTCCGAGGCGAGCTCGCGCGGAGCTTGAGATCCCGAAATCCCTACACAGTCAACCTTCTGCTGGGCGGAATGGATCCAATCACTGAGAAGCCCCATTTGTACTGGATCGATTACTTGGCCTCCGTGGCGTCGGTACCTTACGCAGCTCACGGCTATGCCCAGTAAGTTTGGACGTGATAGAGAGAATCTGTCACTCTTCGCCGAGGCCTGCGCTAAGATGCTTCAGATACTACTGCTTGTCCACCCTCGATAAACACCACCATCCCGACATCTCCCTCGATGAAGGTCTGAAGCTATTGGAAATGTGCACGGACGAGCTGAAGCGCCGACTACCAATCGACTACAAGGGGGTATGTAACAAGCTATCTTCCGCAATCGAACCGCAATATGATTCCGGGTTTACTGACAGCTTCTAGGTCCTTGTCAAGGTGATAACCAAGGATGGCGTGCGGGAGGTAGAGGTTGATAATAACAGGGTTGTCAAGAGTGCCTAATGTGTTGTATCATACCAACGATTGTCTTATGTTTTCGGTTTACGGGACTTGGGTTTCTAAGAGGATCGGTCGGCATGGCAGGATAATTCCCATGAGTTTGACCAGGACGAACTAGTCTTGCCCATGATTTAGCTGAGGTAGAGACTTATAGCAACGACTTTTCGAATAGTGAAATGCTTCGTGCAACCTGCATCTAAATTGCTAATGATGTTAAGTTAGCTTCAGATCGAGCGGTGATGCCGTAATCGCCCGCCGTATGATGCTGTTTGACGTGTTTGCATTGACCGGTTCCTATCGCGTCCTCACAGTTTCAATCCCGCATCGCCGCATGTTTCCTGTCGAATTTCCGCCGTATACTCAGTCATGATGTCGAAACGACAAGCGGAGCTGTCGCTAGAAGAGGAGGGAATCCTTTTGGGCTCGCCTGCCTCGAAGAAGGCGCGTGTGGAAGATGGCGACCTGCCCGAAGACGATCCGCGCCGTGAAGCTCTGCCGCTTCGCCGAGCCAATGGCCAGGACATACTCGCAGCTGCCGAGCAGGAAGGCGAGGAACTCGAGGAGGCGGCGCAGGACCTGGGAGCCAACGACTCTTCTGATGCCGATACCGATGATGACAGGCCGGCCATCGCAGCCCCGAAACGTCAAAGTGCGCCCCTGGAGGGTTACAGCGATCTCTACCTCGATACCATCAATCGCGAAATCCTCGACTTCGACTTCGAGAAGCAGTGCTCCGTGAGCTTGTCGAACATCAACGTGTACGCCTGCCTTGTCTGCGGCAAATACTTCCAGGGCAGAGGGCCGAAGTCGCATGCCTATTTCCATGCGCTCGAGGTCGGACACCATGTCTTCATCAATATGGGAACCAAGAAGGTGTACGTTCTCCCTGAAGGCTACGAGGTCAAGAACAAGAGCTTGGACGACATCAGATACGTTGTCGACCCGCATTACAACAAGGAAGAGGTGGCCAAATTAGATAAAGAGGTTCATGATGCGTTCGACCTTGCAGGTAATCGCTACAGGCCTGGTAAGAAGCGTCCCTTGCAATCCCAGCTTCCAACATCAGAAGGAGAAACAAACTGACAACACTGCCCCAGGATTTGTTGGCATGAACAACATCAAAGCCAACGATTACCTCAACGTCGTGGTCCAACTGCTTGCGCATGTCTTCCCCATCCGGAACTATTTCCTACTGCACGACTTCTCCCAACCAGGCACCCCCCAACTCGCCGTGCGGTTCAGCACGCTGGTGCGCAAACTGTGGAACCACAAGGCCTTCCGGTCGCATGTGTCTCCGCACGAGCTCCTGCAGGAGATCGCGCTGCGTTCGTCGAAGCGGTTCACGCTGACCCAGCAATCCGACCCGGTGGAGTTCCTGTCCTGGTTCCTCAACAACCTCCACCTGTCCCTCGGCGGCTCCAAGAAGCCCACCAAGACGCCCACGAGTGTTGTCCACGCGGCCTTCCAGGGTCATCTCCGCATCGAGAGCCAAGCCATCACCGCCCACTCCGACACCCAGAACGCGCGCCTGGTCTTCACCGAATCCGGCACGATCAACAGCCAGACCACTCCCTTCCTCATCCTCACCCTCGACCTGCCCCCGACCCCCCTCTTCCAATCCTCCAACCGCGAATCCATCATCCCCCAGGTGCCCCTGACCACCCTCCTGAACAAGTACAACGGCATCACCGCCTCGGAGAAGCTGGCCCATCGCGTCCGCCACCGCCTCCTCCACCCGTTACCCCCCTACCTCTTCTTCCACATCAAACGCTTCAGCAAGAACCGGTTCGTCTCCGAGCGCAACCCCACCATCGTCACCTTCCCCTCGCCGCGCTCCCTCGACATGTCGCCTTACGTCGAACCCAACCCCGCCATCTGGCCGCACAGCGAACCCATCCTTTACGATCTCGTCGCCAACATCATCCTCGACCCCACCGTGGCCGCACCGGGGGCCCACGAGGAAGCCGCAGCGGACAAGGGTGTCAACGCAGCGGGAGGTGGAAGTGGCAGTGGTGGCGGTGGTGGTAGTGGGTCGTCATCATCGAGCGGCGCAGGCGCGGGCAGCGAGAAAGTCTCCTGGCTTGTACAACTCCACGATAAGGCCATGGCCGCGGAGAATGGCCGCATCCAAAAGGAACATGCCGGCGAGCAGCGGGGGCCCGAGTGGCTGGAGATTCAGGATCTGTTCGTCAAGAAGGCGGAAAGTGAGACCTTATTCACTAAGGAGGGATATCTGATGGTATGGGAGCGTCGTAAGGTGCCTGGGAAAGCGAACGGCAAGGGGAAAGCTGCGGCCAAGTGAACTGCAGGATAAGGGTTCTCCTGAATTTGGCTAGCTGTGCGTGTGCTTGGATGTCCCGCACTCGGGGTTGGCACACACATGCTGATCAAAATACTGTATAATTAAGTTCTTATGATCATTATGAAAGAAATCATCCAAAACCTACTGCTCGTACCGGTTGGTGTCTTGTATTTGTCAGGGAGATCTTTCCTCGATCCTCGTGATGCCTCAATGGGGACATCTGGTTATACCGGAATATTGAAAATTGCATTAACTTCCGACAGCTAGCCTATGTGCCTGTGTGGATTTGGTTATACATAAGATTGTGGATCAAAAGGTAAACCCCCCTTCAAGCATGACATTAATTTGACCATGCGAATTGGACATATTAACCATATTACATATGCTTATAATGATCCCCAACCGCAATACTTTCTCCCAACTCTGATGGCAGCACCGGAGATGATGCCCCACACACTAGCATTCACGGCCGTTTGCACCCCCATCATCAATGCAACTTTGCCAAAGTACACAAGTGTACTGGATCGCGAACCGCCACTAGCCCAGAATCCCATGCTGTGAACATCTGACCGAAGAGCAGCGGGAGCATCTGTAGCTGATAGATAAGAAGATGCAAGAGAGCGGAGATAAAGAGATTCGAGAGGAATGAACATCAAAGTCGTGATTAGAGAAGCTAGGTGAGAGGCGAGGGAATCAATGGGATGAGACGACAGAATTGTGACTCGATGGGCGATAGGATGAGGGTCGGCTATTGAAGTTTGTGGTGCCCGGCCATCAGAAGCAATCGGAGGAGCCCCAGAGCTGACATTATTCGCAGAGGTTTGAGCGACTTCAGATGATCTCTGGGGCATATCGGTCTGATCCGGTGTCCCTGTGCTATCTGGCAATGTATTCTGAAGGTTCGTTGTAGGAATTCCGATAGGGCGTGTATTTGCCCCCGGACTTTGTACTTGAGGGTTTTCCGCAGATACTGGTGTTGTGTCGACAGATCCTGGAGATATGCCTTGGGTCATGTTAGAAAGTCCATCGCTGTCTAGAGCATCTGTGTTGACAATGGTGGCTAGATTCATGCCCTGATTCGCCAGCAGATCGTCAAGCAGATTTGAGATCGCCTGGTTATTGACTGGCCCTCCGTTTGAGTGTGGCTGGCCAGGGTCGTTGCTGGCCCTCGGTTCTTCTGTACCAGCGTTGTGCTCATGACGGTTCCCTAACACTTCTAGCTGCATCGTGATGACGTCCGAATTCTGATGTATCAGCGACGCACGCACGAGGGGCGAAGCTGGAGAAGAGGTAGTAGACGATGAGGGACGGGAAAAAAGCGTACTCGACCGCGACATTCTCGGAGCCTCAGCAGCATGATCGCCGCGCGGCAAGGTCCGATTGTTCTGATCTTCCTCTAGGGGTAAGGCCATCGCCCGTCTCAACGGCGCCATGTCCGCATAATCACCGCTGCTCATCTCTGTTGGAGACAAAGACATTCTGTTCTCTTCATTCGAAAGCACCTGAGTCTCGCTGAAGATGGCATCTGAACTTACAGTGCCGCCAGGAACGGAAGATCGAGGAGCGGCAGTCCGTTGCGCTTGTTCAGTGTCCAATTCTTGTCTGCTCTGCGGGGTGATTTGTGTTTGGCGCTCATCGCGTGACAGCTGCGCGCCTGATGATCCTGATTCTATCTGTGCTCTACGACGAAGCGCTTCTGGCGTATGTTCCGGGCTTGACCCTATTAGTTGTGTCTTAAAGCCAAACCAAGATAGAATCCACGTGCGAAAGAAGTTGGCTTCGTAGGCCAAGTCTTCCATGAATGTAAGGTTGTTGCGACGATTCTCTTCATCGGCTCGACGACCAAGAGCTGGCATCATCCAGTCAACAAGGTCGTTGTCGTAGGCCACTTTGACCGAAAGATCGTCTGCATAGACGGGCTTCGGCAACCTTCGTCGAATCAGGCGATAGAGCCTGATCTCGACGACTGGGCGTAGGTACACATATATGTAGACAAGAAGTGAGGGGGTTGTTAGGATATTTGTCAGAAATACGACCATAGAACGAGGCGAGAGGTCATTTGGTAACATGGGAAGTTGCATCGGAGCATGTTCACCAAAAGGCAGAAGAGCCCTTAGCCCTACTAGAGAGTAAGGATGAACGAGGTGAAGTGACTGTAACAAGGAGTACATGTAAGTTTGTATAGCTAGGACAAGTAGGCTTCCTCGAGTTCTGCATGCGCTTTTAGCTAGTGATAAAGACCAAACCGCACAAAGTACTCACGCTGAGTGTAAGATGTTCAAAGTGGCTCGTACAAGCCTTGACAGCACGTTATCATTCGGGAATAGATCTTGGCAGGCCGCAATCAAGCGATCCAGCGGATGATGTCGGAGAAAGGATAAGCATGTTGAGACTGCCCAAGCTGGGATACCCGCAAAGTAAAATCCCACCATCCCGTGCTTCGTACGCTCTAGATGTATCATACTGAGCAAGGGAACATGCGTGTAACTTTTGAAGGTCTGGTTAAGTGGTTAGGTTGATTTTGTTCATATTTTCTTCTAGTCGCAGGTTCAGAGATGGTTACCAGTATCCGGCCCATCAAGGAGGAAGTCCACCAGGAGCCAAGAAAGACCGAGATCTGGTCTAGAGTAGCCATGACCAAGCCATAGTCATTTTCAGCCGCGATGATGTCAATCTTCTGTTGTTCAGTAGGGCCGCCCATGTTGCCCTCTTCACTGACAACAATTCCCATCGTAGATAGGACGTCATTCTTGGCTCTTCTTAGCTCTCTGCCAAAATACTTGGACTCTGGATTAATGGGATGGCCCCTTTCATCATAATGCTGGACATAGTCATCCGCATGCAGAGCCGATACTCTCCTGTGAGGAGCAGGTTCAGGGTTTGCTTCGGAGCCTGTGGAACGATCAGGAGCCTCGTAGGGAGACCGCCCCTGATGAAGTGTTAACAATATGCTTCAGATAGAGATATGGGGATTGCCAGTGTAAAGTATAAGAGCGCCAAGCAAGAAATCCATAGTGTACATAGATGTGTAGACAGGCAGTTGAAGGGCAGGAAGATGCTAAGTTTGAGATCACACATGATGCCACCATGATTGCTCTGCATCAAGAACATGATTCTAGTGATGAGAGTATTTCTCACGATGGATAATGAACCATGACAGAGGCTGCTCATGTGGGGTTACAGCTCTGAGTACTGTATATGGAAACGGAACAAGAAGGTGGAGCATACCAAAGCCAGTCGATTCAGGTACGCTCGGCGCCCCATCGCGTGAGCACCTTGTTAGTGTTGGCCCTGAAGGATTCGCGAAGCCATTCCTCTACAGACAAGATGAAGTCAAGTGCCGCATGGTTTGACTAGAATGATGGACGGTTGGATGGTCTTGAATGATGTATGGTCGATGGGCGGAAGATGACTATCATTCCCAGAAAGGAAAGCGGCAGGCACGTGGGCGGCTGGGGCGGCTCCAGCGCTTACAAGTTGGGCTAGCGGGGATCAGGGATCCACAGGCAGGTAAGACAAACAAGGCAAACATCTCGAAAAAAGATCAGAAGTTTCCGGTGCGACGGCGAGTTGAGCGGCGTCCAGCAACCGCAGAATATCTTGTCGACGTGGATCCTATTGGATCTAGCATGGCGCGATAGATTCTCGGCTTTCAATCGCTAAATAGTTTCACATATCATGTCTAAAGCCGTGGTGAAGACGACCTTCGAGGCGTCTCGCACGCTTCGTCCTATCTACACCGGAGGAAGCACTGCGCTCGATGCCAGTGGCCGTTTCCTGGTGACATGCATCAGTGAAGATGCTCTCGTCATTGACCTGGAGACTGGAGACCAGGTCGCTAGTCTGGAAGGCGTAAGTACTCTACATCACCGCTGTGCTTGCAAGCCGCTTATATGGACACATTTTTAGGATGGCGAAATTATCACAAGCTTAGCTAGTATGCAACCCTCTGGCCTCGAGTGATTTACTGTTCGGTCTTCCTAACTGTGCTTAGTCTCCCCATCGGCCTTACATGTCGTTATGTGCTCGCGGTCCATGTCCATGCGAATCTACTCTCTGTCGCCTCTCGACGAATCCACACGTACGATCGATGCGAAATTAGCCAGGAGTCTCAAGCCTCACACAGCACCTGTTGTGACGACTGCGATCGATCCTACTGGCACCTTACTGGCGACTGGCGCCGCGGATGGCTCGATTAAAGTCTGGGATATTCGGGGCGGTTTTATCACACATACCTTCCATGGCCATGGAGGTGTCATCTCAGCCCTGTGCTTCTTCCAGGCGCCAGACTTTCTGAACAATTCGTCCTCGAGTAAGAGGAAGAACAAGAATCAATCAAATGACTCAGATGACGACGAGACCGCAGTGGATTCAACGGGCGTTTTCCGGCTTGCCTCCGGAGATGAGGAGGGTAAGGTTTGCGTGTGGGATTTGAACAAGAGGAAGCCTATCGCGTCGCTCGAGTCTCATGTTTCGGTTGTGCGCAGCCTCTCATATTCGCCATCGGAGAATGCCTTGCTTTCGGCTAGCCGTGATAAGACTGTGATTGTGTGGGACATGCGGACTTTCAAGACGCGGAGGATCATTCCGGTCCTCGAAAGTGTGGAGGCCTCCTGCTTTGTCGCCGATAGTGGTTTGTGTCTGGTTGCGGGTGAAAATGGTCGCTTGCGTGTGTGGGACTGCAATCGTGGAGGCGAGGTCACTGCGGAACAAGAACCTGCCTCTGAATATGAGGCCGTTGTGGCGATTCAATATTCTCCTGGCATGACATCTGCATTGACAGTTCATGCTGACCAGACCATCCGGTTCTATTCTCTGGAGCCCTTGTACAACTACAAGCCAGGGACCACAATCGATCCTTTGCCGATCATCCGGCGCATATCGGGCAACGACGACGATATTATTGATCTCGCATATGTCGGCCCTGAACGTTCGATGCTGGCACTGGCTACAAACACCGAAAGCATCCGCATCGTATCAGTTGGGCCATCCGAAGACAGGCCGTCTGCCAATAATGAAGGATACTTCGGTGCTGATATCACACATCTCGAGGGCCATGACGACATCATCATCTGTCTTGATGTAGACTGGTCTGGTCACTGGCTGGTCACTGGTGCAAAGGATAACACCGCACGTCTCTGGCGTCTCGACCCCAAGTCCTCG